ATAGCCAAAAACCATTTGCAAAACAATGTTTTATTGAAGGAAATACAAGACCCTAAAGTCAGGGGCATTTTTGTCAATTGGACCCCTATATTTGTGGAAGGTTCAAACACGGTTGGGGAGCCTTTATGATTTAAGGAAGGGTGACCCACGATCCAACATAGGGGTTGTAGACAAACCCACGACTCAACTCGTTTTCTAGGAGAGTTTTTCCAGCCTTTTCCCAGTGAGCTCTCGTCGAACCTAAAATATCTCTCATTTATTTCGTTTGACCACCATACATGACGGAGGAAAGAATAACAGCTCTGATGGTCTCGACAGCAAATTTGCTGCCTTCGTCCACCCCAACGCCATCTATAATCACCAGTTGAGAGCTATGGACCTCAGGAAGAGATCCATAGGTCTCAATCATCAGTCGATCCAGAGATGGGAGGTGCAATAAGGCTTATAGTCCTACAAATCGAGGCTTCGATGCCAGTTTTGGCCATCTTTCAACTAGTTTTAGGCTCTGAACAGGTATAGCTTTTACTTTACATTTCATGATTTACAAACTGGTAAATTTTTAGACATTTTGGTGACTGTCGAAAAATCAGACGAGCCTTAGCTGCTAACCAGCGCGTGCGGTAGTACGTTGCAGCAGCACGCATACCTGATAACCCATTATCTACCTAGGCTAACTTCTATGCCCTAAATCAAATTTGGACATCCATTTGACAAGATTCGACCGTTTGATCCTAGTTTCGTAAAGGTCTGACATGTGGCCTTTGTAATGAATGTAGATCTGACTGGTTGATCATCACAAAATTATAGTATGTTGTTGTGCGTATTAATTGAGTATCTTAGGAATTTACATAAAAAAAAAATCGAATATGCAAATCTTTTAGATTTGGATTACGTGGGGTTGTTGACCTTTTGTCGACCATGTTGACCAATAGTTGACTTTTGGTCATAATGTTCCCAATCATTCATAAATGTTGAAGTTAGCATTGCTAGATATCTGATAAAGTCTAGTGGGCCTATCTGGGTTAGTGTGCCATCTTGGGAAATGTGCACCTCGGTTTGCGTGCAAATGGCACCGTACTTAGATTTAGATGTTTATGGGACTTTAAGATGGGAGTACTTATAATATCAATGTGTGATTGCTAATATGTAAGTGATGCTAATATATGTGATATGGCTATTACCCTCAAAATTCCCATGCTAGCATACTTAGTGGATATGGTATAGATTTATGAAATATATTTTTGTTAAATTGTTGCTTTTAAATTATGCCATCACCTATTTTATGAAATGTGTTTTGACATGCATATTTGAAATGTTTGTGAAATGTGAGGGCTGGTAAAGAATCGTTAACCCATTGTTATGAGGAGTTGCTGCATCGAAATTGTGTCATGTCTCGATTCATTGAGCCATTCTAAACTACTTTCATACACTTCTACTCGGTTCCGTTAAGTTGTCCAAAATCGAATTCTGCTTAGGTTCTGTTGAGTGGTCCACTACCCTGCATCATCTCGATTCTATTGAGTGTCATAGAAATCGTGTTCTCCAATTCCATTGAGTGGTCCGGAATCCGTTCCTATGTTGGTTTCGTTGAGTGGTTTAGAACCATGTTCCGCTAGGGTTCGGTTGAGTGTTCCAGTACCCTAATTCGTCTCGATTCCGTTGAGTGGTCCAAAATCATGTTATGTTCTGATTTTGTTAAGTGGTTCGGAATCCCTTCTCGTGTCAGTACTGTTGAGTGGTCGGGAAGCATGTTTCGTTGAATGGTCTGATACTTACTTTGTCTCGATTCCGTTGAGTGGTCTAGAATTCCTTCCCGTGTCGATTTTCGTTGAGTGGTCTGAAACCATGTTCTGCTGGGGTTCTGTTGAGTGGTTTGGTACCCTACTTCGTCTAGATTCGTTTAGTGGTCCTAGAACTGTGTTCTGTTAGGATTTCTTTGATTGGTCTGAAATCACTTCCCGTGTCAGTTCTATTAAGTGATCTAGAACCGTGTTCCAATGGGGTTTCATTGAGTGGTCTGATACCCTGCTTTGTTTTGATTCCATCAAGTGGTCTTTTCAGATTTCGTTGAGTCGTCTGGAATCCCTTTCCTTGTCAGTACCATGAGTGGTCTGGTACCCTGCTTTGTTAGATTCCATTGAGTGTTCCAGAATCCCTTCCCGTGTATGTTCCATTGAGTGATCTAGACCTATGTCGCTCTTGCCCTAGTTTTTAACTTATTTATCAACAAAAGATTTGAGAATCTTTGCGAACCGATTGAGAAAGGACGATGGATATTGTGTGATTACTTTAGGATTTCCAACTAGTTTATTTATAATTTTTATAATGTAAGGTTATGAATGATTTTTATTTTGATCGGATTGGTTGATCAATGTGACTAAAGGTTAATATTGTGCATCGTTGGTTCATTGTAATGTTATACGTTGTTGATTGTGGTTTTGTTGAAGGAAAACGTTGTGATACATGGGAATGATGAATTAATATATTGGTGCCTCACGCATGTTGGCATTTGTCTAGAATTCTATGTTGCTTGCGAGTAAATGCCTTGAGAAATATTCAGAGGTTAACAGAATGTTAAACTACGAATGGCTTGATCCCATCTTAGGGTAGGGAGGCAGTCTGACACAAAGGTTAGATGCAACCATGTTATATATAAAAAATAAATAAAAAATAAAAAAAATAAAAAAATAAAAAAATTACTATGATGTTGAACCGTTGATTTGTTTTTGGTCATGTCACAAAGGCAAGGCATGATAGATAAACATGTACGTGGTGACGTCACGTGTTGATCCTCGATGTATCTTGGGATCGAGGACATGATAGCATGTGTAAATCTTGGGGTTTAAGGACTGGTAGTTTGATGAACAATCCCATGATCTTGTAAGAACCAAGATGACCAAAATTTATATACTCTCCACCATTGTCAGAATGCAAAACTTTAATATCAAAGGAATACTGAGTTTTAACCATCTAATGAAACAGATGAAACACATCACAGACATCACTTTTATTTTTCAATACATTTATAGCAGCAGTCTTTGTATATATTTTCATGTTAATAAAAAGTATGGTCTTATCTTTCGAAATAATTTTTGCACATTATTTTTCACCTCATCTTCCTTATAGAGATAGATTTCATCATTTCAACAAAGCAAAACAAAAAACCAATGGACAAAAATAAAAGGTATTCATGTTGGGGAATAATATTCAATAGTTTGAATCTAAAGACTTTTTTAAGAGCACATGATACTTTAACGCAGTTGTGAATATCAATCATGACTATGCACCTTTGTGCGAATTTAATTCCCACTGATTCTCATTCCCTTTAACAAACTAACTATTTAACATATCAATGCTATCGCTCTACTAAAAAAAAAAAAAAAAAAGAGTGGACATCTCAAAAGGCCGAAAAATTAAAGCTGATAAACAAAAGGGTTGAAACTTTTTTGGTCAGTGTTTATGCTCAAATTCTATTTTAGTCACTGGAATTTTTATTCAATCAATTTGATCGTTGTGCTCTTTGGTGTACAATTTAGGCTTGTTTACGTAACCGTAAATAAAATAGAAAGAAATCAATTGATGAGGAATGAAGAGGAGATGGAATTAGGAGGAATCAGTATCAGATTCCTCTAGAAGCTGTTTAATTAAATATTTAGAATCGGAATATGAATGAAATTGAGTTCATATAAATTCTTTATCAATTCACCTGAATCGAAGTAAAAAGCAATATGATTACTAAAATGTCTTGTTCTTCACTTTAATTAAAAAAAACCCTAGCCAAATTCATCATCCCCGCAGACCAAACAAGATTATAATTTATAACCCACCCATCCTCCTGTACGCCCAGGTAAACCACCAAACCTGATAATAACCGATCAAGCAGGATCATTAGCCTGATTCATCTTCCCCGCAGCCAAATGCATCACCAAGGTCGGGATCCCCCATTTCTCCACAATCATCAGGATCAATCCAATTTTTGTTTTCGGTCGCACACTCCAAATTATTCAAAATCCCGTTTTGGGTACTTTTTTTCCCCTGGTTTTTCTCATAGCTTCCTGTTATTTTCACGGCATCCAAATAGGAAATGCACTTTTTTCTCTGCAATGAGCCTGCAAGCGAGAAGCACGTCCACCGCATGATGCGACAGCTAGCGAGAGGGCATAATAGGAAGAAAAAAATGCATTCCCGATTCCCTCACCCTCCCAAAATTCAAATACAGGAATCCCATTTCTCCAATTTCAGGAATTGAATTCCCTTATTTCACGTGGGCTTCACCACTATTGATTTCCAAATATTTAGTAAACACCACAAGAATCCGCGTTTTTCTATTCCTCCTACCTTTACGTGAAGGTGCCATCGGTCACTTCTGCCAATTCCTGGATGGGGCCTCGCTTATAAATGAAATGGCAAAAGCCACATTTAATACATTTTGTGGTCAACGATTCACTGACTAAAACAAAACGCCTACACACCTTCAAAGAAACCACAAATGCAGGCACAGAGGAGAAAGATTCAGATCAAGCTTTCAAGCCACTATTTAATTATAAATTTTCATACCAGTTTTCCACCACAAACTTGAGCTACAATAAAATTTCAGATACAATAAAAACTACTAATATTAATGTTCTCAGAAAAAAATAAAAGAGACCGTCGAATATAGAACAAAATGAAAATGAAAGGCCAAAAAAAAAAAAAAAAAACCCAGCATCCCAATCACTCTCCAGCTACAAACATACTACCGAAAGAGATGGTTGAACCAAAGATTAGGCAAGGCGAGGACGGTTTTGGACTGATTTTCTGCCCTCCACATATACAGAGAACCATTTCACATTGCAAGCAGGCAAGCCTCTCGCATGGATGAGAAGCTATGACAAATCAACATCGAAATATACCCAGTCCTCAAGTGACCCCGCCTCAACACATCGTTTGCCAACCAAACTTGCTTCACATGACACGACACCAAAAATCAAACTAAATTGAAAAATAGCTCACCATCAAAACCATTTTTAGAACTCAGAAGCACTTCCTGTGGACAATGGATGGACCTGACTCGTCATACTCACCCTTGGAAATCCACATCTAATTCATCAAAGACAAAAACGTCTCATCAGTCTCAAGCAAAAAGAATTCATAATATAGCATATGGATTCAACATATCATTGATAAAATTAAGAGATAAGTTTATGATCGTCACCTGTTGGAAGGTACTCAGGGATGCAAGGATGGACCCTCCAATCCAGACACTGTACTTTCTCTCTGGTGGGGCCACAACCTTGATCTTCATGCTGCTTGGAGCAAGAGCGGTGATCTCCCGGCTCATACGGTCTGCAATACCAGGGAACATAGTTGACCCACCACTAAGCACGATGTTTCCATATAGGTCTTTTCTGATATCCACATCACACTTCATGATAGAGTTGTAAGTAGTCTCATGAATGCCAGCAGCTTCCATTCCAATAAGAGATGGTTGGAAGAGGACTTCTGGGCACCGGAATCTCTCAGCTCCAATTGTGATGACTTGGCCATCGGGAAGCTCATAGTTCTTCTCAACCGAAGAGCTGCTCTTGGCAGTCTCAAGTTCTTGCTCATAGTCCAAAGCAACATATGCAAGCTTCTCCTTCATATCACGGACAATTTCCCGTTCAGCAGTAGTGGTGAACATGTACCCTCTTTCAGTGAGAATTTTCATCAAAGAATCTGTTAGGTCACGACCAGCAAGGTCCAGACGAAGGATGGCATGAGGGAGGGCATAACCTTCATAGATTGGCACAGTGTGACTCACACCATCACCAGAGTCCAGCACAATACCTGTACAAGGAGGAGCTCAGTCAACACCAGGAAAATTGAGTACAATATACAGAATCAAGCACAGAAACTAATCGATACTAACCAGTTGTACGACCACTGGCGTACAGTGAGAGAACGGCCTGGATGGCAACATACATGGCAGGCACATTGAAGGTCTCAAACATGATTTGGGTCATCTTTTCTCTGTTGGCCTTAGGGTTAAGAGGAGCCTCTGTGAGCAGAACTGGGTGTTCTTCAGGAGCAACACGAAGTTCATTGTAGAAAGTGTGATGCCAGATCTTCTCCATGTCATCCCAGTTGCTCACTATACCATGCTCAATGGGATACTTCAAGGTAAGGATACCTCTTTTTGACTGTGCTTCATCACCTACATAGGCATCCTTCTGACCCATACCAACCATGACACCAGTGTGCCGTGGTCGACCAACAATACTAGGAAACACAGCCCTGGGAGCATCATCACCAGCAAATCCAGCCTACACACATAAGAACACACAAAATGGTGTAACTAAAACCTCATTTTCGGTAACAAGTATAACTAAAACTTTGATTACCCTTAAATGCATAATGATTGAAGAAAGAAAAAGATGCCAGGAATGATGCATTACCTTCACCATTCCAGTTCCATTGTCGCAGACGAGGGGTTGAATGTCCTCAGCATCGGCCATCTTTTACAAACCTGAATAAAAATAATACAGAATCAATACAACATCCCACACTAATTCACTAATCAGATAACTGGTCAAGTATGGTATTTTTATATGTATATCGAAAAACATAAATCATTTTCAATATCACTTTCTACGTGCATCCAACTATCTATCTTCGTTTCCATATTTCTTTAACAGCCAATTTCAAAATCTTGCACGAGACTTAAATCTCAACAATCATAGTTGAAATCCTTTTGCTAAGTAAGTAATATAAGCACTTCCAATTTATCAAATTTCAAATATTTATCTAATTTTTTGAAATAAAACTATTCAGATCTAAAAAAAATCAGATCACCAGCACTAGATCCGTACAGATAAGAACCAGATCAGACATCCAAACTACACAAAGAAGAGTATAAATCTAAATCCAACAGATCGATCGGTCAAAGAAATCATGGATCAGTAAGCTCATTCAACATCTAGCTCCAACAATCACAAACCACCAGAATCGGCAAAAACACATTTAAGATCAGGCACAAGTCAACTTCAGCCTACTCAATTCTTACAAATCAAACTCAGTATTCACAAGAAGGAAATCCAAACGCAGAAATTGAATAAGTACAGCTGAAATTACCTAGAAAACGAAAACGAAGACGATCGGAGACGGCGATGTAAAAAGACCAAGCCGAAGACGAAGGCTTGGATATCGCTGTGTTTCCTCAAGGCTGTTAGAGATGGTGGAAATCGAGTAGAATTAGGGTGTACTAGAAATGAGAGAGAAGGGAATATATATAGCTCCGGCTTTTGAAATGCACATGAAATTTGGACCAAATTAACAAACAGTCCAATATTTTGGTTTTTTTGTTTTTTAATTTTATTTACGGTTAATTATGATTATCATCAAACAGTCGAATATTTAGATTTAGGGTGATTTTCAAAATGGGTCATAACATTTTAATTTTGTTATTTTGCGTTATATAGTATTGAAATTGTATCAATTTATGTTTTTTTGCTTGATTGATTGTTTGATTCTAATTCAATTGATGACATGGTGAGTGTGAGACACGTGTGTGTGTGTGTGTAATTTTTTTTTTTAAATGGATAATTGGTGACAAACCAAGGTTATCCACTTATTCCGAGGGCCGAGAAGACTCACAAAGGCATTTCAGCCTCCTCCTGACCACAAATTTGGCTTCCACACCAACAACGGGTTTCGAACCCAATACCTCTAGTTTTTAATTTGAATGAAGTCTTCTCCTGGCTACTAGTCTGGCTTCCACACTAGCAGCGGGTTTTGAATCCAAGACCTCTAATTTTTAATCTGAGGGAAGCCTAGCAATCCATCCTTTACCACTAGAGCTACCAGCTCATGGTTTGAGACACTGTATATTTACAAAACAAAACTTGTCAATTTAAATAATTATTAGATATTAAAATAGATGTTTTGGTTTATTTACACACGTCAACACATCTAAGTTCACCCAATTATTTTTTTTATGTATCTTTTAAAATTCAATTTTAACCTTATTAAAAAATGAAGTTAAGAGCATCTTCAATGGAGATGTCAAAAAATAAATGTCAAACGTTAATTTGATGGCTGATGTGGCAATCTCAAATTTTATCTTTCTTCAACCCATATCTTTTTTTGTTATAAATGATATTTGTATGATACATTTCTAAAAAGAAATCAAATATAACTTTTCAAGATATATAATTGATGCATTAATGAGACCCAACACTATAAAATAATTACAAAATTATTAACATCTGACACATTCCAACCCAGAATATCCATGTGTCCATCCGAATCATGATGTGTTGGTCGACACCTGAAGGGTGGTGAAGCCATAAAGTATGGTTGATGTGTAAAAGTAACCAGAGTGCACAACGTGATTGGGTCCCTAATTACAATTCGTGAAATTCAAAGCATAGCACAAGAAGATAAAAGTAGTCTCATCTGTAAAGGATGATTATTTAATACATAAGTAACCTACTTTGACCGAAGAACAGTCAGCTACTTCCATTGAATCCTCGTACTCCCACAAGCTCAATCTCTACATCCTGAAGGGGTGAAAAATAAGGGTGTGTGGGTCTTTTGATTTTAAGTGTATATATATACATATATATATGTGTGTGTGTGTGTGTGTGATTTTTTCACATAACTATTTGTTTACATAATTGATGTGACATGCATGTTTATCTTTATTAGATTTTCTACACTTCATATTTTTTTATTAACTGTGAGTATAAAAATGTGGCATGACATCTTTTATTATATCTGCTTATTGTTACATGTTTGCGCGATGTTTATTAGTTAATTGTACTATCCTGGGCTAAGGACTAGCTTCATGTGTATGTTCACATGCACCATTTATGTTCGTTTTGGATCCAGAGTTAAGTGTCGTCTGTCTCTAGGTTTGTTGTTTGGACTCGTATATAATGCGCTTAGCGCCAGTTTTATGTGATGTAGTACTAGAAAGTAAACCCAACACCCAGCTTGTTCATGCAGCCACTTTCTATATGAATTGACACGTGGACATTTCACCATATTTCCCTCCTGTAATGGTTAAATTTGAAAGTAATAGAAAAATATTTTACAAAACAATTCCTCTCGTATTCCTCTCGTTCATCCTTCATAGCTTCCTTGCATCAAGGTCAAGGTGGAACCAGTAAGGAATTAGTATCTGACATTGATATCACCCTCCAATCCTGGTTGCCCTTTCATGCATGCCCCGCCATACTAAACACGTGCGTCACCGCTATAGATGCTTGAGTAGCTTTTCTAAAAGTTTCCATTGCTGCTCTTCCTTCTCTAGTTGATGAAGCTATTTCTACAGTTCTCGAAGCCAACCTTCAGCTATATTTTGGACAATTTTGTCGAGGACTGCACTGTTAGGGCAATAGGGAAAGTCCCTTTGCTTCTAACGTTTCTGATAACCAGATCCTCGGGAGATTGAGCGAATCCAGTAGCCTCGCAATCAGATCTATGATAGTGGTAGGCACACTCCACGATCGCTATGGTCTTAGTTCATTGATTTTCCTTTCTTCACTTACGACAAAGATCCACTGGCTTTAATCTATAAGGTAGAACAATTTTTCTAATTCTATCAAACACTTAACTCTCAGCGTGAGCTCACAACTTTTTTTTCACTTTGATGGAGATGTGTTGCAATGTTTTGAGTAGATTGATTGCTTATGATCTACTCCGAGCTAGGAGGAATTTACTGATGCTCTCTACAAGGATTTTGGACCTTCTGAGTTTAAGGATATAGTGATGAATCCTTGTTTAAAATGTGCCAAACAGGTACTCTAAAGGATTATATTGCTAAATTTAGTCAGTTGGCTAATAAGACTAGTGATACTGGTCTCATATTGCTTAAAAGTTGTTTGCTAAGAGGATTGAAAAGGGAATGGAAGTATGATGTTAAGCTCTTGAAACCTGCAATTGTTCATGATGCTATTTCTATTTCTGTACAATTAGAGTTTAAGCATACTGAGCTTAAGTTCCCTTAATATAAGGCTTCAATAATTAATAAACCTCAACTTATAGTTGCTACTCCACCCTCATATAATGTCCCTTGTCCTAGTAACTTAGCTATTGAGAAACTATCTCCAAAAGAAATCCAAAGGAATAAGTAAAAAGGTGAATGTTGGTTCTGTAATGGTAAATGGCCTAGGGACCATAAATGTTGTTTGAAACAACTCTTAATGTTGGATACAGTGACTGAGGAACCAACTGAGGATGATGAATTCAGTGAACTACAACCCGAATTTCACCATATGGAGCTCAATAAGTGTGAATTTTTGGCACTAATGCTAAGCAATCAGTTCAAACAATGAAAGTAGAGCATATAGTCAATGGTCAACATGTGAAGATAATCTTAGATTCAAGAAGTACAAATAACTTCATTGATACTGAGTTGCTGAAACAGTAGGGACAACATGCTTAATCCACTAAGTCTTTTGAGGTTATGATAGCTGATGGAGGCAAGGTGAGGTGTTTAGGGTAGTGCAAGTCCACTTCTCTCACTCTTGGGGGCTATGATAGTTCGGTGGATTTCTCTGCCCACCCTTTGGGTGGTTGTGACATAGTTTTGGGTGTCTAATAGCTTTTGTTAGTCAATCCAAATTTTGTGAACTTAACTCACAATAACTACAAGAGTTGCAACAACTACTAGGGGACTTTGAGGAAATTTTTGTGATCCTTTCTAAGTTGCCACCTCACAAAAAGCATGATCATCACATCTTTTTAGTTCCTAAAGCCCTACCACCATGGTCCTTTTTAGAAATCTAAGATAAAGAATGCTATCCAGGAGCTGTTAGAGGCTAGATTCATCAGACCAAGTTATAGCTCTTTTCTCTTTCCCTGTTCTATTAGTTAAGAACAAAAAAGGCATATGGAGGATGTGCATTGATTAGGGGGAATTGAATGCACCCACTATGAAGGACAACTATCTTATCCCATTAATAGATGACTTGTTAGATGAATTTTTTTGGGCTTGTTATTTTTCCAAGTTGGATCTTAGATCTGGGTACCATCAAATACTTATGCAACAAGAAGATGTGGAGAAAACAACTTTCAAAACCCATAAAGGGCACTATGAGTTTTTAGTCATGCCCTTTGGGCTTACTAATGCTCATGTCACCTTCTAAAACTTGATGAATGGCCTCTTCAAGCCTTAAGGAAGTTTGGTTGGTATTTTTTTTATGATATTCTCATTTACAGCAAAACTTGGGGTGAACATTTGGGGCACTTAGATAGAGTGTTTGAGATTCTGCAACATAATCAGTTATTCTTGAAGAACTCTAAATGGTCCTTTGGTTGGAGTAAGGTGGAGTATTTAGGTCATATTATCTCAAAAGGAGTCTCTGCAAATCCCTCAAAGCTACAAGTTATTCAAGATTAGCTTTTGCCCAAGATTGTGAAGGAACTAAGATGTTTTCTTAGACTTACTAGATATTATGAAAAATTTGTTCTAGGATATGGGAAGATTTGTCAACCTCTATATAATTTGACTAAGAAGGATGGCTTCCTTTAGAGCTCAGAAGCAGTGGAGGCATTTGAGAAGCTTACAGGAATCATGGCATGTCCTCGAGTGTTAGCACTTCCTGATTTCAATCAACCCTTCGTATTAAAATGTGGTGCTTTAGATAAGGGTATTGGAGCAATGTTGTAGCAAAACAAGAGGCCCATTGCCTTTACTAGCCAAGCTTTGGGCCCCAAAAACCAAACTCTTTTAGCCTATGAGAAGGAATTAATGGCCACTGTCCATACTGTGAAGAAATGGCAAAATTACTTACAGGGAAAATATTTTATAATCAAGATTGATCACAATAATCTTAAGTATTTCCTGGGCTAGAGAGAAAACACTTATTTCCAACAAAAGTGAGTTGTCAAACTTTTGGGTTTTGATTATGAGATTCAGTACAAAAGTGATAGTGAGAATATAGTGGGTGATGCTTTTTCTAGAATACAAAGTGATACATCAATTACTTCTCCTAACATCACTTGTTTTTCTATAGAGTGTGTAGCGATCTCTTACCTATACTTTGGGTGGATTGGAGAAGGCACACTGAAACAGATAAGTGAATCTTAGCTAAAATCAAAAAGGTGATTTATAATTCCAAGCAAGGTGAAGGGTCTTCTACACTTGCC